AAACAAGCCACAACACGGGAAGATATATGCACACCAATGTTCATAGCTGCACTATTTACAATAGCAAAAAGATGGAGACAGCCAAAGTGCCCATCAACTGAAGAATGGATAAACACACTGTGGTACATACACACAGTGGAGTATTATGCTACCTTGAAAAATAACAAGGACGCTGCATGCCTCTTCCTAACATGGATGAACCTTAAGAACATTATGTTGAGTGAAATTAGTCAATCACAAAAGGAAAAATACTGCATAGGACCAGTAATGTAAAAGACTAAGAGAAAGAACCCATACTATTCCACTAAAGTGGATTCTTAACAGGTTGCTAGGGTGTAGGAGTAGGGTTAAGGACAGGAGGGGAAGGTGGAGCACAGGGCAGGGAATAGACACAGGATAGTTTGGGTGTTGGGGAAGGAGGCAATATACAAATAGGGAGAGGGAAATGGAAGAACAAAGCAGACAGGAGAACAATTAGACAGGTAGGAATGAGCTAAATGGGACAGAGGTAAAAAATGATGTAGGCACAGTCTTGGAACAACAGGGCTCTGGGATACAGAGACTGGGACATGGTTGGAATGGTGATAAGCGGGGAATAATGGTAAGATGCTTGGCTGACTCTTGAACCTTGGTTTTGCATGCATTCTATTATAAAACAGACACAGGAGGATAGAGAAAGGAATAGCCAGAAATATCACCACAGAAAGCTTCTAAGTCCGTCTTCTGCCTAAAATTGATTGGAATATCTAAAATGGGGCTACAATGTGTCCAGTAAAGGAGGTTTCCTGAGGAGTCTCTGCATTACACAAGACTATAGATGGAAGCCTGAACCACATCCAGACCTTCAGAGACGGGAAACTGTCCTCTTGAAAGGACAAGCAGACCTGCCTGGAACAGCCAGAAAACCAGAAGACATGTCTCGAAAGAAAGACCTACAGGAAAAATACAAAAGAAGGACAGTCCGACTGTTACCACAAGAACAAGTAAGTCGCTTACCCAGGAGACATCAAGGCAAGTAGTTGAGTCCTCTCAGTGCAAATCTACTTCCAAGACCAAAATGCAGTGGAAATACACGCTCTGATTGGCGACCACACACGTCACCCATAAGGAGAAGCAACCGATGAACATCAATGAAGCGGCGAGTTAAGTCCTGCATCATTCGGCAGACTACTGGGAACCCAGGTGGAGACTTGGTCTGCCAGCAGCGAGGCAGGACCCGGGGTCTCATGGGCTGAGAGTCAGAGACACAGCCACAGAGTACTAGACTGGGGAGCAAAGCAATCAGCTGATAGGAAGAGGGCGGACAGATGCAAGAACACCCACACTTGCAGATGATACCCACTTGACCTGGCTTCAATGACTGGATGAACAGAGCTCAACCCAAAGAAGAAAGAGGAGGAAAAAAGAAAAGAAAAAATAGTATCATCTGATACAACTTGATAAACCTGACCTGCACCTATAAATGCAGTAGTTCAAAAGAGGAAACAAACCCCTACTCCAAGAATTACTCCCACCCCCTCCGCACAAAGAGTAGATAGGGATGGGCAACTTGAACATTGGCTACCCAAAATGGGGGGAGGGATACAAAGGTAAGAAGTGACTGGCTTACAAGCTTTCAAGAGAGAACCTAGATCCACAGGGCTGGGAGGATGGTAGAATCTCCAGTGAGTAGTATCCAACTTGTCTAGGAAAGGCTGATGAAAAGAAATGCAGATGGGTCTCTTGTGATGCAGGGGTGAATAATTGTTATCAGGACTGATTGTGAGGACTGGAAATGCAAAGGTGGATATTTTATAGCAAGGAGGGGAGTGATTAACCTTTCAGTCTAGGAGTGGAGAGCCCTGGGACCATCACTGGAGAACAGTGGAGATCGAGACCCCACCCAGAGAAGCAGTGAGGCCTGAGATGGGGACAGAGAGGATGAAATGAAGAGATGGAGTGGCTGAGGACTTGAGATCCAGAGAGGGAAAGGGGCTGTGTGCTGAGGACCATGGTTGGGGGGAGGGATTTGCAGGGTATACCCTTTGGTTGGGTGATTATGCATGGATGGAATGGTAACTATGGCAATGAAATGATGTATGATAGAACTAATGTTCCCCCATGTAAACTATCATGCAATAAAAAAAAAATTAATTAAAAAAATTTGATGATGGAAGGAAGTGAGTCTTGATTATAAGGGTTAGGAACTAAAATGCCAAATACAGGTTTGTTGCTTCTTCTATTAAGACTTCAGTTTAAATTTAGAAATATCGGTGCTTTGGAATAATTGAACCAAATATTAAATTCCTGAAAAAGTAGAACAAAATATTCAAATAAAAGTGGAATAGAGACATTTAGGCATTTCTTTGGAGGAAAGAAATCACACATTATGACAATGTAGTAATGTATCTATCTTCACACAGCTTTATTTGATTTTGCCTGTTGATTTCTACTGCCTTCCAAACAGGGAGATGCACTAATCATTGTCTGACTAAAGAAAATGAAGTAGAATGAAGACATGGGACCCTCCACTCAATAAAATCTGATAACATTGAAAATTATCTAAAATGGGAGATGGAGGACTATATTATTTCAAGACACAGGGCCAATAACAAGAAATAGGAAACTGCAGGTGGTTGGAAAAGTCGCAAGAGGAGACTCTGGAACAACGAGGGGAAGCACAGGCACAAAACATTGTGACCTGATCCTTATTTCAGGTGGCACATACAGGTCTTGAGTTCCCTGAGCAACTGGAGGCATGAGGTAACAGAGAGTCCAGTGCTCTCAGAGGTGATGAGATGTGAGAGAAACAGAGGACTGAGGCCAGAATATGAGAAAACACTCGTATCAAGAGATAGGCCTGCAGAAAGAGGAAAGAAACTTAGAGAGAAGAGGTCATCCAGATAACGAAAGGATATGATGTAAAGGAATATGGTAATGAATTGTGCCCAGGATTCTACAGCATGCAGAGAAAGAATGATGCCAGGGTCTAGTGTGGATATTTGGCACCAGTTGTAGCACCATCTTTAGGAAACATAGTTTAAACCTGATTGCCAGATCACCATACAGATTACAGAATTCCAATCACTGACATATTTCTGATTGGAAATTACCAGTATAGATCCTGATGGAGCAGAACAGATCGGAACGGGACCTCCTCTCCTCACTTATACCTTTCCCAAAAGTGGGACTTCCTTGGGGTGGCACATGAGGCTCAGAAACTTTAGTGGCCACCCAATAAGTGCTATTGGGTTCCCTTTGTTGTTGTTGTTGTTAAGTGCCATCGAGTCGGTTCTGACCCATAGCGACCCTGTACAGGGTTTCTAAGGCTGTAAATCTTTATGGGAACAGAAAGCCTCATTTTTCTCCCATGGAGCAGCTGGTAGTTTCGAACTGCTGACCTTAAGGTTCACAGCCTGATACATAACCACTACGCTACCAGAGCTCCCCTTACTCCATTGCAAACCTTGGTTATTTTCTCCTAATATCTTAAATTACTGAGAAATGGGGTGGGAGTCACAAGAGGGTGAGTGGATATACATGCTGAATTGAGAGCTCCCTCCCTCTACCCTATTTTCTTCTCCTGAACCATCTCCCTCATATAGCACCCTAATCAACACCACTGTATACCACAGTCCTGTCTTCATTGGGCCTTGACAGGACTGGGAGAATTCAAGTAGACCATAGTGTCCACCAGAGCAGTGGGCAGGTAGCTCATGGGGAGGTAGACGAGCTTGGCATCCCAGCCAGCTGAGTACCGGGTGCGTGGGTAGCAGGCCGTCAGCGCGTGTTCCATGCAGTCTGTCACCAGGGACAAATTGGATTCACACATCTTGTCCATGGTTCCAGTATATTTTATGTCTGTCAGAATGTGAAAAGAACTCCGATTATACTTTCACGTCCCAACCCTCCCATCCTGGGACCAGCCTTTGGAGAAAAATGTCTAAGAATGCCTACAGCTTCGAAGCCATCCCTCCCAACTTACTCCCACAAGACAGCCCTGGCCCAGCCCTTCCCCAAGGGCAGGTGTTCCACACTAATCGATCAGGGTCTTAGAGCAAGAATAACTTGACATCATGAATGAAGGTCTCTGCTAACACTCGGAACCTAAGAACATGAAAACCAACTGCCTGTAACACTAGCTTGCTAAGAGTACATGTCTTTCTTCCTTCTCTGGCTTCAGTTGCCTCCTCAAAATACTAGGGTTCAGAGAAGTGGTCCCAGGCTTACTAAGCCTGAGCCCTTTATGTGGGTTACCAGTTGAGGATCATGAGAATGTCACTGAATGTATCTACTCTGTTGGGGAAGCAAACACTGGAAGAAGGACCATGAGACAAAAGTAATGAATATTGAGCTCAGACTTTCCATACAAGGGCTTGCTTCTTTCTGCACTGTGTACAGCCCACTCACAGGAATCCAGGAACTTTTTGTTATAGGCCTTCTTAACTTCTGGACTGGTTTGGTCCCATATCTTCCGTAAATTCTGAACATGCTTCTCTTTGTCAGTGATCCCAGTCTTGAAAAAACCAGGCTCTATCACAGCCACCTTCACCCCAAAGGGAAAGAGCTCTCTCCTACAAAGCAGACAAACACAGAGGCAAGAACTTTAGAAGCCTTGGAATAGAAAACAATCAACCCAGACAGGAATGAAACACACTGGAAACTTGGGAAATTGCAAAGAGCATCAGCCAGTGGGAGAATAATAATGACCATGGGATTGCCTCTGTCTATAGTTTAATTAGATTTAAAATCATTTTATATTATTAGTTCATTAGCTTTCAATCCTACCTATCTTGGAGCAAGGCACCACTGAAATGTTCTCTCCTATTTTCTGCATACCCAATCAGCACTAAGCCTCTTTTGTACTCTTCTGTTCCCTTTTCCATTTTCTGTTACCCTAGCAAACCCCAGCTAAGCTCTTACACAGGTCTTCTAAAGAGTATCTCTCAGTCTTCAGATTTACTTCCTAATACTCAGAGTTATCCTCAGTACAATAGCTAGAGGGATCTCCAGAGGCTAATTTCATCAAGTGGTTCCCTGATTAACTACTTCCATGAGTATCCACTACCAATAGCAGAAAGTGTCCTTAAGGGAGCAAAGGCCATCCCCAAGCCTCTCTGTGTCCACCTCCCTACTGCTTGGCCAGGTCCATCATTGTCTTTCCTTCTTGGAAGCCCCACAATACAAGCAGCATGTTCACTGTCAGCCTGGGTCTCTACTAATGCAAGGGTCTCTGGCAGGAAGCTCTTTCCGGAAGCCCTTCTTTGTGCTACTGCCTTAACTCAGCTAAGACCACTGCTCCAGGATCCTCTAATCAACCAGAGGCTTCCAAAGCTAACTCATAGAGTGTCCAGTAAATATCTGCTGAATGGAGTCAACTGGATGTCCCACCTCCATCATTCCCTAAAATGAATATCCAGTAGCTATGCACATGGACGTAGGAAACAAAGTATCCATGTTCCAATCTTACCTCAGAAAATTCCCAGCTGTGAGTCCTACACCAGGGCAGTTGTTGTTGTTGTTGTTGTTAGGTTTCATTGAGTCGGCACCAACTCATAGAGACCTTATGCACAACAGAACGAAACACTGCCCGATCATGGGCAAACCTCACTATTGTTGCCACACTTGAGACCATCGATGCTGCCACTTGGCCAAACCATCTCATTGGGGGTCTTCCTCTTTTTCTCTGACCCTCCACCTTACCAAACATGATATCCTTTTCCAGCAACTGGTCCCTCCTGGCAATATGCCCAAAGTATGAGAGACGAAGTTTGGCCATCCTGGCCTCCAAGGAGCACTTAGACTACACTTCTTCCAACACAGATCTATTTGTTCTTTTGGCAGCCCATGGCACTTTCAATATTCTCCTCCAACACCATAACTCAAAAGCATCAATTCTTCTACGGTCTTCCTTAT